ATCGAGACGTTTTCTTCAATATTGGAGTGAAGCAGATATTAATATTGGAGCGGTGCCTCTCTATTCTCGGTGGGGGTCGGATTGTAGACTGATTGGTAAATCAAGAGCCTGAGGTTGAGAGGTCAGGATCGTCTTCATCTACTGTCGACTTGGCACCAATCAGTCTATCACCTACAGCTGCACTTTACAAACTATTGTGACGATGAGAAAACCACTGAGTTCTGATTCAACTGTTTCTGGCGAATAACAGCATGAGAACTGGTTTAGCTGACTCTCCCTATGCCACTCACTCTGCAGATCCCTAAAGGCACCAACATCGTCGCAAACCAGGAAGCTTCCTCTCTGCAACCACACCTTGACATCCTAATCATGGGTCTCCTGCAACAAACCTGACATGTCATTGCATAAACATCAATTGCTCACTGACCAGACGTTGCACAAACACACAAATACAAATTTAATAGAAAGCGTGAAGAGTGCATCAAATATAGTGTTATAACTTCACAGCTTTCTTAGTAAAACTCAAATGTCTTTGTGAATTAAACCAATGTTTCAGTTCCCTTTTCCTTTGGTCAAAACCAACTTTTTCAGTGCTACATCAAGTTGTACTGGTTTAGTTTGATTTACTTTTTAGACTTTGACAGAAACCTTATTGAACTGGTGATGACTATGATGTCACAGCAGCAAAAAATACGGAATTGGACAAAACAGGATTTCCATCCAACTATTACCTCATTATGCTTCATAGCAACTCAATTTAGAATAACGCAGCATAAAACAAAAGAGAGCAATATCATATCCAGAGGCGACTGAAAAAATCAAAAAGCTAAAAAGCAGTCCCGCTTTTCTCTCATTGTAATTTCACTGCACGCAAACTTCACACGGCTCAGGGGAACTTTTACTATCACATCGTCATCGATTATCGAAGAAGAGCTTTCGTCTCGTGTTTGCCAGATAAATGTGGGAAACAACTTTCTCTGTTGTCTGAAACGATGAGCGCTTCTTTTTAATTTTGCTTAAAATGTGACCATAGAAGATGTGAGAAAAGGAGCATGGTCCGGATAGAAAAATAAAACTTAGAATTTGTCAAGAAATCCAAATTTACTGGCCAAAAGTTTGATCAAACAAACGCGGGCTCGCAGGATTCGAACTTTGCTCCGGAGGCCTTGCCACCGTGTGGAGACAACAGTCCAAGGGAAACACAGCTGCATGGAGTCGAGTCTCATAGGACGAGGTTCTACCTTTCAGTGAAACCCCCACATCATTTTATTAAGATCACATGTCAGGACTGGTGGTTAAACAGGGAGGGGCTGCCCTCACGGCTCCTGTGTGTGTGTGTGTGTGTGTGTGTGTGGGGGTGTGTGTGTGTGTGTGTGTGTGTGTGTGTGTGTGGTGTGTGTGTGTGTGTGTGTGTGTGTGCGTGTGTGTGTGGCTGCACTTAGCCAGCACATGCATTGAGGGATGTGGCAGATGTTGCAGAGGCAAGGATTAGTATGTGTGTGTGTGTCTTTAAGCGTGTGTTAAAAATATCTTTGCCACAGCGGGAAGCCATGGCGGCCAATTACAGTGCAGCATCTGGGCCAGCACACATTTATTAGAGTGCGAGTCTGCGTGCGTGTAAATGCGTGGATGTGTGTGTGCGAGGAGGTTCAGGCTGAGTTCAGGTTACTCACATCTTAGCATGTGGAGTTCGAGACGGAGCTGCGGCATGTGTTTAACAGCGACGAGGCTTTGTGTCGGCGCAGCGCAAGCAGAACTCGCACACCGTGAAAACGACACGAGGGCCGGGGACGATTACAGGAAGCCAGAAGTGGCTACATATGAAAAGGCAATGAAGACAATAGGAAGAATGGGGAAAAAAAAAGAAGTCTGAAGAAGGGAGAGCAGAGGAAGAAACTTCAGGGAAAGCAATTGTTTCTTGGAGATTTGCTATGTGTCCTTCACTAGAGAAGATTTACAGATTTTTCTGTTGATATTCGCTTCGAATCTAAACATTTGTTTTCAGATCATTTTCAGATTTCTCATTCAGGGTCCTTTAACAGCCACGTTATTGGGTCATCAGTCTAGGCTGCCCATAATTTAACGTGGATAACAAAGACGTGTCTATTTTCTTTTAAAAATGCTGCAAAATTGTTAGTAGTTTTTCCTTTTCACTCATTACTCATTATTCAGCTACAGCAGACTTAATTATCACACATCTGTGAGTGACAATGACGCAAATTGGCATTTTCTACCTCAGTTCCTCTCCTAGCTATATTAAATGTGATGAGAACTATGTGAGGCCAAGGTGGCGTGCAATCATGCACTATAAAAGAAGGAAAATAACCATTAATAACCTGTGCACCTCAAAGCCTTCTCTGGTATTTCATGGCATTAAAGGGAAGGAAAAAAATATATATTTATATATATATTTTACTTGGACTGCTGAGATTAAAACCGAGCATTGTTTTAATTACTTTAAGGAATGCCAGAAAGAGGCTGCTGCAGGAGGTGCAAGGCCATTGATGAGGAGTAACAACTGCTCTATTGTTATTAATTATGATAGGCACACAAGAGCAAGCTGGCCTCCTATGAGGTGTTCAGAGACTTTATGTGACCCACAAATCCCATTCATGTGCTGGGATTGATTGTAAAACACTATTTCATTCCACTTTTGTCTTATGGAGTGTATATGCTGGCTGTATAGGGTCTTGCAAAAGTACTGGAACAATTGGAGGTTTTTAAACTTTGCTTCGTTTCAATAATAAATCCTTTCATAGGGATTTTATATGCTCGACCAACATAAATTAGTGATTAATTTCAAAGCAGATGGAAATGTGTACCCGATTTTCAACAGGTTTCATTTAATCTGACGAAACCGCTGCGGCCTTTACAGAACAAAGACGTCCCTGCTGAAATTTAATCGCAAAAATATGATCCCTATTTCTAAATTAGCTGACTTTGGTTGGTAATTAGTTCAGAATAAAGAGGTCGAACCACAAGCGTTTCAGATTTTTGTGTGGTAAAATCCGACGTCCTCTTCGGACACGCGACTTTGATGTGATCTGGCGCTACTTTGTGCTAAATCATTTCAAATCACAAGGTCTGTGTTAGCAGCAAAGCGCTAGGAACATTTGCTCAAGTCACCAAAAGGTTCAAACAAATGTCATAAATCAACAATTGACTCAAGAAGTGCTTTCAGGTCGTCTTTTTCAGGTGTCTGGGCTCCGTGCGGTGAGAAAAGCTACTCTGATGCTTCATTTACACTGGAGAGAAGAAAAAGCACAGACTGCTGCAGTGAGTATATTGCCGTATAATGCAGATAAAGCATAGAGAGTCATATAATGTCAATAATTCGTGCACTGACCCCCTAACTTCCAAGAAAAAGCATCTTAATCTGCACGCAAGGACTGTGAGTCTCTGCATCAGAATCTGATGAATTTGTTTATCATTTTTCTTAGTTCACTCTAATAGTTGCTTTGATATCTTGTAGTGAAATCACAGGTAAACTGAAGCTGCCTTCGTGTTATTCCCATCTGACCGAGCACTACAAAACCACAAAACACACACACAAGTCTGTTGCCCAAAAAGCAAAACTGTAACAAAAACATGCATAGTCATGCATTTCACAGATACTTAAGGCTGACAGTTATTGAACTTTCTTCCAAAGTGCAGCGAGGCCTTGCAGGCAAAAAACAACAACAACAAAAAACACCTCTGTGGGTGGGAGTGTGAAGTCAGGGAGGAAATCACTTTTTTTCTTCCCTTTGACTAAATCACAACAAAAGAATAAAAGAGTGAAAACAGTAATCTACATTCTCACCATGAAGATAATTAAGCAGTGCTGAACGCTTCCTTGGCTCCAACCTTGTGTCCTTTGTCCCTGAGTTCTGCTGTTTCCTCTGCCATCAGGTTTGCCGCTGTCCGTGTGCAACTACTGCCCCCGTGTGGCGAAAGCCAGTCATTGTTTTCAACACTGCACTGCAGCAATGGCTGGTTGTCCTCAAGAAGAGTTTAATGCCGAGTCTCCTGCATGTGAGATCACCAACAGCTTACACTGACCTTTTAGATGTTATGTCCAGCTGCAGCTTTTCTGCTTATGTCAGCATCTGTGAGTTTGCTTACAATGCAATTTGATGCGACTTTGATGTGTGACTGATTTTATGTTACACCTTTGTTATTAAAAGCAAACAATTGGATGGGTTTGAAGTGATCTGGTAGGAAGAACCCGGATGATTCAGACAAATATTTCTACCTCAGACATTTTAAAAGTTCATTTTTAAATTATTTCTTTTCAATATCTGAATAACCTCGAAGCACTTTGTATTGCCTTGTTGCTGAAAATGTTGCTGAAAATGTGCTATATATACATATATGTTTACTTTTACTTTTACCTATAACTAAGACAAATCAGTTCAAAATTAGCTGTTCACCTCTGAGCTAACAATACTGAAATCCATGAAAGGCATCAGAGTAACTCCAACATGCTTTTGATGGACTATGTGAGCAGCCATGTCACGTACAACAGAAAATGGATCTGGTGTGTTTCACTGCTTCCAGGAGAGCAAGTTTAACAATGTCAGAAAAGAGGAAAAAACAGCTTTTACAAGGAAGGGTCAACAAGTCGAGAATTTGAGAGACTCAGAGACAAGTTCTTGTGTAAGGACTAGTAACATGTTTTTCTATGTATGTTTTTATAAAGTATAATTTCTATGATCTGTGATTTTATTATAGCTTTGGTGTTGCTATCTTGGCCAAAAACGTCTGTGACAGATGAACCCCGTTGATTTTAACGGTATAAATGTCTCCATGCTGCGGACAACCGCGATCTGAGCAAAAGCTTGGAGCCTTTTCTGGACTGTCTTGACTTGGTGCTTTCCAAATGTAGGCAGATGAAACTCGTTGGCTTGTGTTGCCGTTTCATCGATGGGTGTCCACGCTGGATTCCGGGGCAGGAACAGCCCTTCCTGTGCTGCGGCGACACTCTTGGGAAAAGTTCACAGTCCCTCTGCGTCCCTGCATCATGGACAGGACGGCCGCGGCGCCGACCCGCAGGGTTTCCTCTCTGCCGCAGTTCAACATCTCAACCTCCACGTTGGCCTTCGACCAGCATTTCACCACAAACGCCAAGGGGATACTTCTTCTGGTAGAGATAGTAAGTGTGACTTTTTAAGACCAAATGCAGTTCTGCTGTGAAGTCGGTGAAGATAGAAAGATATGACATGTTGGGATTTGGCATTAATTTTAATTTTTATATAGTAATAGGTCAGTAAATTACTTTCCAATCTGAAATATTTCATATGCTTATATTCAGTTAGTATGCAAGCTGAATAAACATATGCAAATTATGTTAAATTGAAAGAATAAAGTGAAGACTGAATTTAAAGGGGCAGTATTGTGTGTTTTACATAGCACCATTTTTTAGCACAATAATGAAACTATCTCACCTCCAGTTGTCATAAAAATGCCACACATATCAAGTATGACAGAAAAAAATTTGACTTTGTAATTTTACACATTGAAATTGGGCCTCCGTGTCTTTAAGAAGCTTTTGGTATCTTTGGCACTCAATTAGAAAAACACAGAACTTAAAGGGAAACAGATTTGAACATTAACCTTGGTGTGATCTAATCTAGAAACAGTACTTCTATGAAAATAGGAAGTGAACCAAAAGCAACAAAGCAAATCGAGTCCCCGTCCTTTCGTTCCCTCATTGTCTCTCTTCCTCTTCAATTCAGCCGGAGGGGAAAAGATCCTGGGCGGCTTTTCTCCAAATACAGCCTGGCTGGCTGCCACAGACCGGGCTGGACGGCCATTCCGCACACGATGCAATGCAAGATGAAATTCTGTCAAAAGCAGCATTTTTTTATTTTATTTTATTTTTACATTAGACAATTACATTCTCAACGGAGGCAACCGTGTTTGTGATTTCCCTTTAAAATAAAACCCAGTCAGACAGAATCTTCCGGTGATATGAAACATCCTGCAGGAACTTTTTGTTGGGAAAAGGGAAGGGTGTGCTTTGTTTCATGGGGAAAAAACAATTAATCACTCACTGCCACCATTAACCCTCCTGTTGTGTTCGTTTCTGAGGTACAGCAATAATGTTCGTGGGGGTGGGGGGTAAAATATGGTTCATAGCTGCAAGAAAACATATAGAATTAGAATTTTTAAAATCTTTTTTCACCCTTCAAACTTGACTGCTGGGTCAAATTGACCCGTACAGTATCTATGTAAAAAGTAGATGCAGGGGCGGGGGTTGCAAATGTGTAAAAATAATAACATTTTCAATTTATATGCAGAGTGCACCTAGTAAGACAAACAGAAAAAGTTTAATGCAAAAAATAATACTTCTAAATATAAAAAAATTAATAAAAATAACATGCAACATAACAGGAGGGTTAAAGTGATTTGAGAGGGAGATAGAAAGAGTAGACTGAAGGCTGTTTAGACATCAATGAATAAGACAGAATATGAATCCCTGATGTGGTTTCATTTGTCCTCTCTGCAGCTGACGGGCATGTTGGTCTGGATCTTGATTGGCGGCACCGATTACTTCCGCCTGTCGACTCTTTGCTGGGTGATGTTCGTGTCCATCCTGCTTTGGATTCTGACCATTTGCCTGTTCATAATTTACCTCACCGGAGTCCACAGCAGGCTGCCGCAGATTCCCTGGGCGACGCTGGTAACCCTCACACCAAACACACACACACACACACACACACACACACACACACACACACACACACACACACACACACACACACACACACACACACACACACACACACACACAGTCTGGCTCAGTAAATCAACTGAATCGGTTCCTCCTTGGCGTTTCATTTGTGAGCTGAAGTTTCTGTGCTTGCCTCCTTCAGTCGCTGTGTTTCAACTGTGCTGCTGCAGCTCTGTATCTGGTGACAGCCGTAGTCGAGGCTGTCTGTGTGGGCCAGGCCACCAGGGGGCGACACAACTACAACTGTTGGGCAGCGTCGGCAGTAAGCACACACGTGTCAATGCAAACTCTTTCCACTGACTTTCTCCCTCGTTGCTGTGTGAAGTTCCTGCAATGCTTCATGTAGGAAAACAGATAATAATCAATGTCATCACAAGTTAGCGCTTTGATAGAAGATGTTTCTAATGTGAAAGTTGAATCAGTGGGGAGTGGGCGCCCCCTTGTGTTTGTGACTGTGACAAGACAGTTAGATTTCTAATGATTAGTTACAAACACAAGGGGGCGCCCACTCCCCACTGATTCAATCTTTACATGGGAACATCTTCTGTTTTACATCCCAGATCTGCTCAGATTAATTGATCAGGGATTAAATCTAACATCCAGGGGAGAAAAAGCTTTTGGCCCCCGGTGTGGTTTTGTACACTTAAAACAAACAAATAAACAAATAAACAAACAAACAAAGAGCTGAAGACCTCATCAGATTAATATTTCAACAGCAGCTACAATTATTGTTTATTTATGTTTTACCTTCTGCACTTCTATCATAGTCTTTAATTCAAGAGTTTATTGGAAGAAATTTCTTTTTATCTTTAAAGGTGCTATAAAGAAAGTATTTATCACCTCACTGAGATTGTCATTGACGTTTTCTTTTGCTTGCCTCATTCTGCCCTGAAAGCCATGCCAGCCTAAGCAGAAAGTCAACTCTCTCACACCCAAAAATGACCCGTACCACAGTGGCTCCCAGTGCAGACCTCCTGAAAAAGACATGCAGGCTGTGAAAAAAAAAACCTCATGGAGGCCAAAGCCACAGAAAAATGTTCTAGAGAGCTAATGGATCTGATTGTCTCCTATATAGTGACGAGAACCTGGGTGAAAATGAACCAAGCAGCATTGGTCAGAGAACTGTTCTCTTCTGGAAAAGTGGACATTTCATTGATTCTTTCATTGTGGACACATTTTTCTACTTGTTAAGAAAGTGTTTGTGCCTTTCAGAATTTACGCAAACCGTTGTTTGTCTTTTCGTCTTCGAATCCTTTCTGCTTTCAGTTCTTTGCATTTCTGGCCACACTGTGCTACGCAGGAAGTGGCTACCTGAGCTACCGTTTGTGGAGAACCACAGAGGAAGAACATTAAGGCCTCTTCAGACTCTCAGGCTTCCTTGTGCGTCATCAGAGGCTCGGGGAGGAGGAGCGGACAGTTTCTTTATCGACCGACGCCGCGGACGTTGAAGAAGTTCACCCATAGACTAAATCAACACAAAGAAAAAAAAAATCCAACAAGATTTGTGGAGGAAAACCAGATTTTTAGCATGTTTGCTGGTTTGTGTTTGTGGCTTCATAAAATGTTGTAGTAAAAAAAAAACAAAAAAACAAAACAAAACAACAAAAGCCTCCATTTGTCCAAGTCACTTTGCGCCTCTTTGTCAATGACAACTGGATACATGACTAAAACACAAAACACCTTAGAGTTCATTTGAAAGCTTAATTTTGAAATGAGTTGTTTTTCCTGCAATCTCTCCGCTCATTTCATCCAGTAGATTTGAATACGAATGCAACAAATCATGCACATGTGAACAATGATGCTTTTCACTTCCTCGCTGGATAATAATAATAATAATAATAATAATAATAATAATAATAATAAAAGCAATTAGGCCTTGAAATATTTTGAATCATTTATGCAGCATACTGGAATACATAATTCAGCAGCATCTTGTAGCTATTTTACAAAGTTTGCGTTTCTGCCTTGTGTTGCAGCAGCCTGAGCTTTGTGCTGCAGGTGAAAAAAAAAAAGGGGTGGGTCAGGGACAAGAATACATTCATTTGGATTGTCTTGCACAAGGCAACTTGTTCTGAAGATAAGTTTGAGGTGGAGAGCTTTGTTTGCCCTGTAATTCCCTTCATGAATGACATGTTATGAAAAACCTGTCATTAATCCAATTAAAGTCACAATTTCACCTTCAGATATGTTCTTTGACTGCATTGCATCAAAGATATTTATGAATGTTTGCCAGTCTGGCTGTTAGGATAACAGCTTCAAGAGTAAATTGACACTTTATGTCTGAAGTTTGATGAAATCTTGTACAGTGATAATAATTGACGTAACCATATGCACAGTCTGAGCTCACAGTGCAAACCTGAACTGGAAGGTGAAGTGTTACACTTCACAAGTAGATGTCACTGTTGGGCTTGAGCTGCTTTTCTTTGCCAGTAGGGCCGAGTTGGTTGATTGGCTTTATCATTTTACTTCCCCAATGAGGTTCCATAGTCATAGTCGTTCATGAGTCAACCTTTTAATTGTCAATAAATAAGAACTGGGATCATGGGTCAAAGAGATATGACCAGGAATGCTTTAGACTTTCTCAAACTAAATGTGTGGCTGTTGAGATGAGTTTGAAAGTTTTATAAAAGCTACATATAAGTCAATGTGATGAGTGATGGAGAAAAGCTGTAGAGAACCTGAGACAGAGAGAGAAAATGAATCACTGACAACACACCGAACCTGGATGCGACTCTTTACTCTCTCAGCAAAACTGTTTCTCAAATTGCTCACAGCAGTCCTGAAACCCAGAGAAATGCAGAAGATAACCCAGTACCTGTGTGGGCAAAAGACTGAAGCATCCAGAAACGGAGCTCCGAGAGCTGATGGAGTCTGGAGCTGACTCAGAGAAAGGGAACAGAATCTGACCCAACTGGACCCGACAGGAGCAGTTTGTTCACGACGATCAGACCAACGACAAGGCTGTGAAACGACCTCCAGGATTTCGCTCCTGTCTGCAATCCACTCATGAATAGCGATGCCACATTTTCCCTCAGATTCCAGACAGACATTTAGAAATCCAAAATACACACAAGACAATGTGAAGACAAAGTTTAGCCGATCATATCTTTATCAACTTGAAATTCTTCCAGAATGTCCTTCAAGTGTTTTGATTTAGATTAGTTGTTTTTTTAAAATATGTTTTATGTTTATAAGCATGAGTGAGATATTACCAGGTCGATGCATTTACTTGCATTATGTGGTAAAAGCGTCTGACACGTTTAAACAGCATTTCTCAGACTTTAAGTTGTGCTTTTGCTCTGTTCAAGCTTCCGATTAAGACTAAACAGGAAGCCTTAGACTTAGAGACATGAAACTGACCCAGCTGAACTGAATTAAAAAAGTTCCAAGATTTCACAAGAGCAGCATGCAAAACCTGCAGTGCTGCCGCAAAACCTGCAGTGCTGCTGCTGCCGCTGCTCTGGCCTCTTTTCTCACAGCTTCACCGTTTCTCCAGTGTTTAAATCTTCTTATCAAACTTGTTGACACCCTGAAAGTTTGCTGCATCGTTATGAAACAGCCCTTCTCAGTGGGTCTTTGGGTAAGTAAGTGGGCTTTGTTCTTAAGAAGAGAGAAAGTCTTTCATAGCTAAAAAAAGAAAAGAAAAGAAAAAGCACAAAATCATCTACTTACATCACATTTTTTAAGAGGGATTACTTCACTGTTACTAGTAATAAATGTGTTGCTCTTCTGAAAGCAGCACACTGGAGGAAATTATTTGTGGCCACATCATATCTTTTCATAGAAAGTCTACAAGCATCAGTGTTATAAACGCAACTCTTAACTCCACAGTTAGAAGGTCTAACATTTCAAGACGCAATGCAGAGCGTGCTAATGAAAGAAAGTTTGACAATGGGGCAACAGCATGAGCCTTTGCTAGCATGTCTATTAAATTGTGCAAGAAATCCAGGAACGCTTCCTCAGCGAAACAGCGGCTTCCCTAAAGGAGCTCAGCCCTTGTTTCTGGGTTGGTTTTACTCTAATAAATTTGGTTAATCTTCAACCGGCATTTGCAAGTCTCAGCTGAAATATCCCTGACCTCCGCTAAAATACGCGTCATCCATGAACGCAGCACAGAGGGACCTCTGTCCAATCTGGCCTGGTTTCAGGTGAGAGCAGAACCCAGCAGCGCAACGCAGCGCATCAAAGCCAAAGAGTGAAATTTGTTTGCACAGGTTCCTGCAAGTGTGGCTACATGAATGAGCAAGATGTACTTCCCACACTCACATTGCTGGTGATGATTCACATTTTGAAAATTTTGTGGGTTATTTATTTTTTTGGCTTTTTTTTTGTTGGTGGATGCGTATTAACAGCAGAGGTTATGACCTCTTCTGGAGCGTGTCACATACCACAGACTGTACAGATTAAATGCTCTAACACACACAAATCTCTATTAGGGATTTTTTTTTTCAAACCTCTGGACTGTGGAGGGTTTTGTAAACTAAGTCACCTTCAACACTTTTTCCCCTCACACACACACACACACACACACACACACACTCACACACACGCCAACACGCACCCACAATGGAAAGCATTCCACCTTCTTTCTGAAACAAGATACAGATTGATGTATGTATGGAAACCTCTGCCCACCTGAACCACCAGTGGTGCAGTGGTTGGAAAGTATGAGAGCAGCTTTACATTTCTAAAACAAAAACAAAAATAAAAATAAAAGTTTGGTGGCTGCAAGGCAGTGGGATCCTCTGTTTAACTGACACGTCGAGTTAAACAGAGGTCCATAAAAGCAAACTACGTGGCAGCAGCAAATAGTGAAGCAGAGCAGAATGCTGGCCTAGAAGTTCTCAAAGTAAAGTCCAGTCCGGTCTGAAGTCCAGAAGTTACTAAGCGTGCCCGGGGTTGATTTTGGCAGGGCACCAGAACGTAGAGCTGTTCGCTCGTAAAGGTTTAAACTCAAACCCAAAGTAGCCTGCAGAGCAGATGTCACGTTTTAAAGCAGGGCCAGTTATCGCCGCAGACAAATCAATAAAACTGAAATGTGCTGCGAGTGTGGAACGTGTTGAGACTCTCTTAGAACAAAAAAAAAAAATCCCAAAAAGGTTGAAGTGGAAAAAAACAAAAGTCTTTCAGGCTTGGGGTCAGGAGATGCTGGTGCTTTTCTCCAGCCAACATTCTGACCTGTGCAGAGGTGGGTTCGCCCTGCACAGGTCGCCAGTCTGTAACAGATAATTGTTACATTTTGCATTTAATGTTTCATTTATAGCATCCAATTTTATTATTACCCCAAACATGTGCTATCACACGTCTATATAAATATTTACAATGTGAAAAAAGTGCAAAAGTTTTTGACAGAGGCTTTGCATAAACCACTATAACCACTATCGGAGATCCAAATCATTAGCCCAACTTCCCCCACTCAAGGAAAAAAAAAACATATGTTGCTGTGAACAAAAATGCAGTTGGAGAGAAAGATGAAAGAACAATCTAGATCAGCATATTAATATAGAAATACGGCTTGAAAAGTCAAGGTTATTTAAAACGATGAACGAAGCCCGTCTTCCTGCGCCTCTGCCATTAAAGCCGAATTTGTGCAAGTTTCTGCATTTCTTCGGGGACCAAATGAAGACCAAATGAAGACGACTGGCTCATCTGAGTTGTTTTCCATCCAGAGTTTGGATGGAAAACTCTGGACTCCAAACTGTGGAACTTGGTGCTCCGGTCAGATGAGGCCAAAATCTTTGACCAGATTTTAATCAGGGAAAAACCTGTGGCAAGACTTGAAACATTTCTCTCTGTGCTTGTCATCTACAGCTGCTCTGCAAAGAATTTCAGTCGAGAGATGTCGAAATCTGGTGGGGACTTCTTCCTGCAGCGACAAAGATATTGTCAGAATATTCAAACTATCTCTTCGTAATGTCAGCAAAATTAATTTCTCTCTAGCTTTTCACTATCGCTCATGTCCTGTGGTGAGAGGCCCACATCAAGATTTCCAACGTGAAAAACAACCCAACACTCTGGTATCTTTTTACTGATACATGTAAAAAGCTACTTATATAACTTGCTGGATATTAAATGATAAATGTACCATAATCATAAATGAACTTAAGTAAATAACCTCTCAGGCTACATTCAGGTAAATGTCTCAGCACTGGCAAAGAAATGCTTGGAAGACAAAAAAAAACAAAACCCAAAAAACTTGTGGTCTCTTTTTTTGATCTCAGCAAAACAGAAAAGCTGGTAATCGATTGTGGATTTATTCAGAATCCGACAGTTTTCTTTTTTTTTTTTTCATTACTTCGAGTGAAAAGTAACAAGAACTGCTGCGGTTCAACACTTGCTTTCATCTCGCACCCAGAAGAATTTCTCATGTTGTGCGTGTGCTGAGAGAGAGAGAGGATGCCACAGGAGGTGGTTTCCGCACTGCAGTGGAGCTCGCTCACCGTCAGCGTCTGAGCTTCATGTGAAGATGCACCGTCTAACCTGCCACCCAATAAAGCCAAAGAAGTGTAACTAATTAACGCCGACTGACCAGGTCAGAGCCGTTATGCTGTCGTTGCATCGAAATCAGTCGTCTGCCGCGTGCTGCTGGGACGATTATGTCACTCGGTGGTGTTAGGTTTAGTAGTTTTGTTGCTCCAAAGTTGCTGAGTGAGAGCTGGACAGGGGACATGAGTCAGACGGTGATAAAAAGCATTAAAGCCACTCTTTTTTTTTTTTGCTTTATAACTCCCAAACCCAGAATGTACTGGAAGCTAAACCTTTATGGAGTGAAACAAAAATCCAGCCTTTAACAGCAGCTTATGAGAGAGAAAAAAAAATCCCACAGAGCAGCAGTTCCTGATCCAGAACAAACCAGTTTCTGAGCCCAAAGATTTGCTTCCGCGATTTAACCAGCACCAAAATCTCTCTGCTTATTAACAAACAAAATGGAGGAGAGTCTGAACCAAACTCACTAATCTGCACATAATTGGGATTTATTTCAATTTTGGACTTAATGGGATTGAAAAAGGAGACTTAGGATTGAAAGCAAGAAAAGAAGTGAAACAGCAAGCATCGAACCTCGCAGCAGATTTGAGAAATTAACTTCCCACAGTCTGCACAGGAGGCTTGTGAGTTTTGGCAGCAAATCTCTCACGGACTTTCGTACAAATCGATGTCGGCTCAGTTCAGCCTCTGGTCAGTGTAAGGCACTGATTCTATCTTCTGAATTAAAAACGTTCCAGTGACGTCTGACAGTGTATGCTGCCAAAAGCAACAACTGTCTCTGCAGAATATAATTTGTGTTTTGCAGTCTGTCTGTTGAAATAAGGCAAATATTTTTGTTACTTTGCATTGCAGCAAAAACACGTTTGAACAAGAAACTTAATGGAGAGCAAGGGTTAACTTGTGCTTGAGCTTTAAGGGGTTTGAAGCCATTAGATTGATTTTCTTTTCTTTTTTTTTCCATCTGCAGCCTGAGAGATTAGAAGTGGACTTTTTCCTAAAACAAACAAAATGACGATTTGATGTATTGTGAAATTGTGCAACAGTCCAAATGTTGAGGTTTTTCTTTTTTCCTTGTTTTTCACAGGATCTCAAATCTCTTTTTGATTCTTCATAAATGAGAAGAAAGCGATTTTATATGCCCTGAAATATAACTCTGTCACCTGCAGTAGGCTCACAATCAGCCGTTCTGGGACGGCCTCAGAGGTTTGTCAGAGAAAAGGGAACAAACGGCATCATGAAGGTCGGGGAACGCAGTGGTCGGGTCAGGGAGAGAAGATGGTGAGAATGTTTCGCAGAGGCAGCTTATCGAAAAAAAAATCTCCCAAACTTTGAACATCTCAGGGATTTCAGATGTCCAAACTGTCCGACTGGACGAGGAGAGCATTAGTCAGAGAGACAGGTGGCATTGATTTGCTGGTGGGAGAATCTGGTAACAAAACTTGTGAACTCAATAATTTGATCCCTTGTGGGAGAGTGGACAAACGAAAGAAAACCAGCGTCCCATCTTAGTTGAGACAAAAATTTACGTTTTGCTCAATGCGCGACGCAAAACTGTGGGGCAGTTTACACGGAGCCACGTTCATGTGCTAAAAGTGCCTAGTCAAAGTCCAGACCTGAATGGCATCAGTTCTAGACTGATTGTCACGAACACTCTCAGTTCAACCTGAGATATTTTAGAATGATAGGCAAGAAAATTCTCCAAACCCCCAAAAATATAATTCACCTTCCACTTCACAAATATCGGTCAGTGAAATTCATGAACATTGGACATTTACAACAACCTTCGGGTGCAGATGCACACATTTTGACACTGTAAAAAAAAAAAAATCTCTAAAATACCTGCAGCTGTGGTGGCCAGAATGTTTTTACCTAATTATCTGATCAAATTCTGGCATTTTACCGTAAATTAGAGACGTTTCTTTTTTTTTTTTTTTTTTTTACTTACAGTGTGGGGATCCTGGGAAGCTGTGCAGTCTTTGGTAAAACATGAGAAACTAGAAACCAAACGTTGTAACTATGGCCCTCAGTCTTTATTGATCTTAAATCTTTAGTAGAAACAAAAAAAAACCATCTAAATTCAAATTTGACAAGGTGCCAGAGAAGTGTACCTTGTCACCCACATTTTGTCAAAACAGGGAGCCATAAAAGAAACATCTGAAGCGTTCTAAGAACAGGATGAGTTCTTACATTTCCATTCTAGACGATCAAACTCCCTGCTTAGGGTTGAATGACTACTGCAGGTGGTGGATGGTTTCACGTAGAGCCTCTGGTGGCGACTGGAGGAGAAGCTGCTCTGCAACTCTCCACGTGTTGCTGCTGCAAGTTAGAAGAAAGAGCGGATTTCCTGGATCTGGGGGAGAGGTCAGTCATCCAGCCAAGGAAATGACAAATATTCGTTGTGCAACCACATGGGATTTACGTGCAGAGAAATGACCTCATAGCCCCGTTTCACAGACACACCTTGACTTAAAGAGCTCCCCAAAATAGTTTTCTATCAAGAGAACCAAGCGTTACGTGAAAAAAGTAGTTTTGATCAAGGCTTTTGAGGCAGATTGTGTTGAGGTTTCTAATGCCGCGATGATCTGGCACATTTCTGTTCAACCCATCATGGCAACACAGACGTCCGACTGGACGAGGAGAGCATTGAGAGACAGGGTGACAAAACCTGGTAACAAAACATCTAATATTTGTGAACTCAACAATTTGAGCCCGTATGGCAGAGATGACAAAAAACAGCAACAAAAAACAATTGTTGAAAGGAAACCAGAATTAAATTTGAACACAGAAGGTTCATGGAAAACTTTGAGACCAAAACGTCACGTTTTGGCCTCCGTGTTTAGAGTTGTGTGTGGCTCAAAAGTAACACATCACTATAAATGCAACTATTTTAGAAGATTTTTTAAAGTACTTACTTTAACCTTATTGATCTGCCTCACAGTTTCTCTTATGCAATGATGTCATGGCTGATTTGTGACCCCAAACTGTCCTTCTTGTCCTTATCAGAAGACCAACAAAACTGTATGCTTAAGCACTGCTACCACTGCCCCAAATCCCGATACAGTGGCTGCCACTGCAAATAAAAACGCCCTTATCTATACTCCATACTGCTGTATTGATCGATTGATTGAGAAGGACTCTAAATCCTTATCCGCTCAAAGAGAAGTCTCTGGAAAACTCATTGACAGCTTCAAAGTTGCCTTTGTCGGTTTACTGATGAAAACGTCTTTGGATGCCGATCTTCGTAATACTTAATCTATCTCTCGCGACTCACCAGTTTAGTCTGAACATCAGCCTGGCAATACTAATGATCACTTCGCACCGATTACCTCTGAATGGCAAGTATTAAACAATCGATTGCCGACACACGATCAACGCTATACTTAGCCTTTGCTGATCTGATTAAATCTCAAAGGTCTGATTAAATCTCAAAGGTAAACACCGAGAGTGAGACAATGGACAGGGTGGAGCGTGCTCGTATATCACGGGCCTCCTGTGTTTTCCAGGCCCTCCCGTCCCAAGAAAACAAAATGATCAATGATCCGAAACAGAATAAACAAAACGACCGAGGTGGTTTTGACCCCAAGACCTCAGAGAGGCAATGAAAATGTATTTCCAGACACCATCCCTGTCCGACAATGTCAACAAGGCTCGTTTCTGTTTGACGCTGTTTTTGGAAAATCATAGGGAAATAACAACTCCTGATGATCACGATAATCTGGATGTGAGTGATGTAATGTCTTTATATATTTGTGTAACCACCTGAAAAAATGAAAACGGGAAAACTCCTTCAGTCAAGTTGAAGTAGAAGCAATTTCAAAGAAAATCCTTCTAAACACCATTAATTGACACATCTTAAATAAACTCACCTTTTTTCTATAATCACAATGAGAAAAAAACATGAAGTGCACAAATGGGATTAATTATTGAATGTTGACATTTCTTCAATTAACACCGCCCTTCCCCCCCACAAAAAAAAACAAAATAATTGTGTTGCAATGCAAAGAAATCTTCCATATCTGCACTCGTAATAGGACGATAAGATTAATCAGGGGCCCTAGGAGCCAGAGAAACACAATAAAAAGGGACAATCAATCTGAATGACATAGTTTCAGGGCCGCTATCTCTCTGTCAACTCACCATTTTCTTCAGCTGAGCCTTACTTTGACACAATGACTGCGTGAACTCCCAGCAAACGTCAGGACAGACACCGGGAGCAGGTCAGGTTAATGTTTCACCAGTGTTGGGTTTTCAAGGCACCGATTTGCACGGCCCACAGAGTACGTGCAGGCCGTGTGGAGTGACGGGGGAAGGGTTTATGGTCAAAGGGGCTTATCTCAGCGAATTGACCCGCTCCTATAAATTGTGGGGATGGCAGGGCCGAGGTGGAAACGCTCCTTAGGCTGTGAGCCCTCAGGCTATCAACTTGACTTCAGCTTTTTGGCATCTACAGCTTCGTCTTCAGTCATGGGAATTGTCTACAGCGTTGGAGAGTAAGTAGCTCTGAAAGTGTTGACTGTGCTGCTCTCTATGGTTTTCCATATGCGCTGACAGAACGGCATGTTTACCCAAAAAAAAAAAGAAGTCCAAAATGTTTCTCTTTTGTGAAACAAGAGCTTATTCTCTTGTAAAATAAACTACTTCTATGTTTTGCTTTGAGTATTTTTTTAAATGACAAATGTAGCTTTTTTTTTTATGTATTACATTTGGGAATCAGTGACTTTGCAGGGCAATTTTTTAAGGCCACCGTGTTTTTTTTTTAGATTTTTGAAATTTGAAAAAGTAAGACTCTGAGAAAATTAAAATGAATCATATTTATTCTTTGCTTTTAATTCCCCAATATTTGTTTTTAGAAGATAAAGCAATTCAGTGTTCAGGAAAGAAAAATGTTGCTAATTTAGCCATGAGAAGCTGTACCTGGGAAAGTTTAAAGAATGTCCCAGTTTATTTGTGCACATTAACATCTTTGTCAATTTAATTCTCAATTTAAAATAACATTTTGCATTTCATTTTCCCCATTTTTACCATTGCATGACTGCACACGCACCAGTCTGTGGAAAACTACAAATAAGAATCATTTATCCAAGCTGTTGGCAACAGATCTCTCTTATTCTAAATAAAGAAATATTCTTATTTCCGGCATTTGTTGGTGGAAAATGACACATTTTCAACACAGCATGAAGCAATGCCACCAAAACAAGTTCCTAAATAAATTTAAAATGACACAAGGCATTTTGAAAGTTAAGTGCTTAGCACAGGCTTAAAAATCAGCACCCTCATTTTATGTGTCTTGGCATCACTACTGAGTTTAGATAATCAACCAATCATGCAGGGCCCTGCCGAGCAGGCAAAAACTGGATGGGACCTCAGTGATTTCTCAACGTGTCTCCAGTTTTGCATGCTGCACTCCATCCGAAATTAAATCCTCTTCGCTCCCTTTGCCCTGCAGGGTTGACCACCTCTACACCTTCTTTGTGCAATGGTCGCCAGACATCTACAGCAATGGCAAGAAGAAGTGCTGCAAGTCCTACAACAACGTCAGGAAGACAGCCCACAGCGCCTACCGCGTCGTGTCGTGGACAAGGCCGCAACACCTCTGGCTTGCGGCCTTTGCTGCAAAGAAGTGGGAGGTGAGTCTTTTCCCGGGCAAAGAAAGAAAAACAAGGAAACGAGTCAGAGATTGTTGAGCTCACACGGCCAAACACATTCTTGAGGAGAGCTTCAGGAGAACTTCGCCCCTCCTCTGTTACAGTAAAGCAAGCTGAGGGCACTGCAGGCAAAAAAAAAAAAAAAAATAGAAATTTGTAAGCTTTGAGACGAAGGGAAAACCCTCCTTCCTTATATGGACATCCTTTCTCCTCCTCTGTAGCTCGGGGCTGGGTTTCCGTTTCCATGTATGAAGGAAAACAAAACTCTAGTCGTAACGGTGAACCAATAAGCAGCCGCGTGGTTGGATTTCCGACTAATGAAAGTGAAAGCCCCGCAGAGGCTATATAAGAGGAGAAAGTTTCCCTTCAGAGAGCAGACATGTGGAAGAACAGAGCACACAGGTTGACAGACAACTCTGCAGCTATGAAGAAAATACAGAAAAATATCCGAGTGCTTTACTTTGCCAGTGAATGTGCAGAGCCCTACGTTGAGGTGAGATGATGAGCTGGAAGCAGGCAAAGGGGGATTAGTTGATGTCAAGCGGTTGTACTTACAGCTGCAGGACAAGTCTGCGCGTGAAAAGCGAATGTCAGGCAAAGAGAAAGTGCGTTTTCTCATGGCTTTTGTTGGCATCTTCTGCTCAGATCATCACGGAGAAGGACTCAAAGCACCGCCTGAGTCTCTGCGGCTCGGTGGAGTCTGAGGTGGATGAGACTGAGTACCAGGAGGTGGAGGATGATTTTCCTGTCCTGAGCCACGCCAGCCAGCTGCTGGACGACTTTCACCTGCAGAAGGTGAGTGTTGCTCCACAAACCTGTCCAGCTCTAAAAGCACCAGCAACTCTAGTGCTTTTGTGCTACTATTTTGGACTTGACAAGCGAGCGTTAGATGTATAAGATCATCATTTTCTTTTTTCTCCCCGCAACAGATTGCAGCTAACTTGCCTCCAAGGACCCAGGGGTATCCGTGGCAACTAGTTTACAGCACCGTCAACCATGGGAGCAGCCTAAAGACGCTCTACAGGAACATGGCTGACCTGGACAGCCCCGTGCTGCTGGTCATCAGAGACATGCACAAAAAGGTTCGCATCTTCAACACAGATTTTGACACGACTAACAAAACCAAAACGTTGACTAACGAGCTGCTAACTTATGTCCCTTTCAGGTGTTTGGAGCTTTTTGCTCGGATCCGTTCAGAGTCAGTAAATACTGCTACGGAACGGGCGAGACCTTCTTGTTCAGCTTCAATCCTGACTTCCAGGTAGGGGTGGACTCTGCTTTAATCATCAATGGGAAAGCTGTTATTAAACATATAACATCAGCAATAAATAATAAATAAAGAAGCACAATTGACTAACATTTTGTGTTTAATTCTCATCAGCAATACAGGTGGAGCGGGGAGAACTCCTACTTTGTGAACGGCAACTGGGAATCTCTGCAGATTGGTGGAGGAGGGTACGTTCTCTTTTCCTCCACTCATGGCTAATATGAAAGAGGCAGTTTATGATAAAGCAATGAGAAGAAGAAGTCAAAGATTTACTTTCTAATTTTATATTTGTTTTCTCGCTCTCTTGTTTTGATAGGGCTGGCTTTGCTCTCTGGTTGGATGCTGACTTGTACCACGGCGCCAGCTTTTCCTGCCCCACCTTCCGCAACGCTCCTCTGTCCACCAATGAAGACTTCATCGTGCAAGACGTTGAAGTCTGGACTGTACAGAACTGAATGGGGGAAGCACTGTGAAAATAAGACTTTCTGTCTGAAGTTATGACACTTCAAGGTCAGCCAACCCCTTATGCTGCATCCGGACGGAGCCTCCGCTGTCGGAGACGCATCAGGACCAGAGCAACCTGCGCAGCACGAAGCCGTACGCGGCTGGTCCCCTCGGTGGGCTTCCTGCTCGGTGAACTGGAACTGTGAGAAGCAAGTGGCAGGGGCCACCGCCGTGGCCCCGCCGGTGGCCCTTTGCGATCCTGAAAAGCATTTTGGCACAACGTTCACACCGTTCACACTGTTTGTTTACAGTTCTAAAATTGTATGCATTCCCTGTGATGATGATGATGTGTGTGTGCGTGTGTGTTTACACCTGCTTGTGCATCATTTGCTTGATGGTAAAACAAAACAAACACTGTAAAAGGATAGGAGATACAGCTGCCTGTCTGAGCTGGTTTGGTTTCAGCGTAACTCCTTTTGAGTAGGCCAAATCTGATGGGATGAGATAAAGCACTGCTTTGCACTACGACAAGCTAATGTGTGGATGTGGTGAGTGAGGAGGAAGTGAAAAGTAACCGTTAACCATCTTGTGTAATGCTACTATGTTCCTCTTTGGAGTATATAGCCATAAGATAGAAATAATTCATGTTTGAAATCTTTGGCTTATTTTTGTATGGAATTATTTATAGATCAATCCTTTTTTTATATATACAGAAAATTTTAAACCAGAAACTAAAGCACATTTTGCTGGTATGTCTGTTTGGTTTAGTTGTTTGTGCACAAGTCTGGTTCCGTCGGGTAGTGCTGGCACCGCCACAGTTCTTTTTTCCTGGAAAAGAAGCGTGTTTCAGTAAAATGGCATTTTGTTAAGCTTTTTCTTTGGAATTGATTAAGCTTAATGATAATAATAAAAAAAATAGAGATGTTGTCAAACGTTAAATGTGCCTTGTGATGTGGTTAATTGAACTGGGTTAAAGTGTTTAACAGCTCAAGCAAAAGTATTCACACTTAATATCTATTTTACACCAAGAGATAAGTTACAACAAACTATACCTTTTATCAAAAGCACAAAAAATAAACTCTGCTCAAGGATCTGAATTGAAGACTTTAGTGAAACTTTAACTGGGACAATTAAAGCCAAAAGAACTCAGTTGGTGTTTTATTAAGTATTTACAACATGTTTTAGCGTGAATTTGAGACTGAACGGTTCTAAAAGTGATATGCGCGCATGTTGTCACCTTTAGACCGAGAACCAATGAAACCACAACCTAATTAGGGTTGTGGTTTTCTGAACACTTCTGCTCTAAACTTAGTTTTCCTGGTGAGCATGATGTTTACCTGCAGTTGTCACGAACAGGGGCTGAGCGGAGGAGCGAGACACGCATTCTTCAACAAGTCCGCCACATTTAGAGGAGCCGTCGGTTCAGCATTCAGAGAACTGACATCACTATTCACTTCTGTGATTCATCATGTCTATGACCATCTGACAGGCAAACTGTTGCCTCGGCGCCATACAACTGATAAAAATAAGGCGTAAGGTGATCTCAAGGTCATACAGCTCAACATATAGGCAGCTGTCAGTCGGTGCATGTATGGTGATCTGACAAACAGATGCTATGTCCCAGAACGGCATGGCAACTCATGACATCATCAGAAGATGCCATCTTAAACTGAATCACCAAGTTATATGAGATAACTGTCATTTGTGATGTTGCAGGGTTACTTTTTCTTCTTGCAGCTATATTTTGCCTCTGGTTTCATCATGTCTATGAAAGAAGCTGAAAGTGGTTGCTCCGGATCCACAAGCACAACCAGGAGTTAGGATCGAGTTGATTGCACTACGACAAGCACTACCCTTCTAGCAGGATAACAATGGCAAGTCTAAACTTGTAGGCCGCTGACATAAACTGAACGTTGGGACGTGGAATGCAGAGTTATGCATGGATCAGCGAACGTGGGCGTAGGCAAGTGAATTCTTCAGGGCTCCTTTTATTCCAACACTTCATTTATCTATTTCTGAATCGGCATGAGAACATGGCTGCGTTTGGCCCCGCACAGATTGCCTCTCTTCCTTTTTGTCTCTGTTAAAATGTTTCAGATCACTGAACAAACTTGAACGTCGAAGGTGACAGCAGCAAATGCAAAAAGAGAAGGTGAAAACTGACCCCACTCCGTTGTTAATTAAAGAGTTAATTGTCTTGGGAAGCTGAGTTCAGTTTCCCTGTAGCCACAGCCCGACCTGATGACTGTCAGACCCGTAAAATCAAGAAATGACATAAATAGAGTCTGTATGGAAACATCAAGTAGGGCAGTAGATCTTCTGATCTGGGCAGCTTGCCATTGATAGAACCACAAACTATAGAAATAAATCACAAAGGAGAGAGTCCGGCCCTGGTTTTGCTGAATTAAAACCTCAGTTTATGCAACAGGGCAATGATGCAACGAACATGAGCAATTTCTCTGAAAAATCAGGATTTTGCATTTCTTCTGGTCATCTTCGTCTCATATCAAAGTATGTTTGATGATCTGAAACTTTTTGGTGTGACCAACAAAGCAAAACAGAATAATCTGAACCGAACTGGACTTATTTATCCTACGGGTTTATACTTAGACTCGTCACTTCAGCAGTAGTTTCTGTGACATGTAGAGGATAGAGGAACTTTCCTGCCGGTGGTCTGTGGTTAGAACTATAACTCTGTCAGTATGTAGGTTGAATACATAAAGCGGAGCTGGAAGGACTTTAAACCGCAGGTGTTTCAACCTCAACAACAGTGACATTTGTTTGGGACATTATTTTGCATGTGTGGGGAATTAAATGTTGAAGGTCAGTAGAATATGTTTCCCACATTCTGGTACTAACTCTGACGTGGCGGATATTCGTTCACATTGGACTTTTGTTTGGAGTTGTTTGCATGACGCCTTTGTATTGTTTTTTTGTCTTTGCTTTTGCTCCTAGTGTCTTCATGTTTTCAGCTGTTTGGTTCCCGGTTCCTCTCCTGTTCGGGCGCTCTTACCTCCTAACCGTTTTCTGTCATCTGCATCTCGTGCCACACGACCGTTTGGACCATGTTACCACAAAAAGCAACCTTCGGGTTCCTCTTTCATTTGCTCCAACCTGTCTGCCCTCCAGCGTCCACACTTTTCTCCAGGACGCACACCCGAACCAACACCCCAAACTCTGCTCCGTGTTTCCTGGCGTTCCACATCTCCAACACCAGTAAACTCACTTTCTTCACCACAAAACCCTGTTCTTCACCTCCCTCCACCACTCTTCATGCTAATTGTAATAAACTCTTTTGAGTCTCTGTGTTGCCCCCTGAGAGCTTCTTGCATGTGGGGCAGAAGCCAAAGTGAGGTTAGATTTTTTTGAGCACTTATTCAGTGAAAGATCCTCTGTGTTTTAAAATTAGGCGAAAAATATATTCCATTAATTCTGGTGTGTACCGTATGAGTCACTCGCAGGGCTTCCTGCCTTTAAATTCTGGTGGTTTCACAGGGTTTTTTTTCTACATCTAAGTTCCAGCAAGTTCCTCACAAAGTTGCACCGTCTCTATTTCCTTCTTGTTTGTTAGACATTTTCTTTGTATTTTTGCCGCACTAGTGACCGTTTTTTCATTTGTAGCTGCTGCTCGGTGCTCTACCGCGGAGCCGCACGGCTTCCCCCGCCCCTCAATAGAAACCTACAAAGAGGAACAAACAGACTAAAAGAAAACTAAATTCAAGAAGAAGAAAAACACTCTTGGACGTTTGCTTTTGGAATCGAAAACCGAAACGATTAATTGGTTTCAGAACCCAATCATCAACGTTCGCTTACCTTTTGATCTGTTTTTGTCCAGAATTGGAAACATTTTGTAAGAGAGAAAAGATGAACGTTGCCGTGGTTTGAGTCTAACTATGACAACGCTCTGCTCAAGAAAATTTCCCATGCAAGATGTTCCTGTAAAAGCAGAGGAAGCCACATTTAGTTTTTTTTTTGTTCTCAACCCTCTGCCATGCTTATAGTTGGAATTAGACCAACCACCTGTGTTTGACTTGATTTGTGATTCGTAAATACAGTCGTGATCTTACCATCCCAGACACATCACTGGTTAACTTTGACACACACACATTCAACTGTGTGCTAGTGAAAAAAACTATTTAGCTTTACCTTCAAACAAAAACAAGCAAACAAAAAATGCATTAATTCGAACATTATTTTAAATACTTCGAAAAGCAGATTCAGTCATTAACTACTATTGTCTTTTCTCCACTTATGCACTCCCTTGCCCAGGTCTAATAAAAAAATGCTGATCAACCACCCTGAAGTTTTTGTTTTAATCTGACAAAAGGTGGAGGGATATAAATACTTTTGCCATTTAGAGTCCAGTTGAGTGTGTGTCCCATCTTTTTTTAGTGAAAGTGAAAACGACTTCCTCATAGTAACATTTCCCATGTCTGAAAAAGGCCCGGGCATCCAGCGTCATGGAAAGAATTTACCAGATTTGATGAGAGATCATCAACAAGCTGCTTAATATCCTGTAAAGGAAATGACGACAGTATGCTTGTGCAGAGAGCTGTTTTTCTTCTGTTGACATGAACTCTGTTAATCTGATTCAAAGGAAAAACGTCGCCTTTCTAAACTTAAAACACCTACTGCAACGGTTGCGTTTTTTTAATATTAGCTTTCTGGTTTCAAATTAGTCAGAAACCTCACTTCTCAGATCCACTACACCCCAGATTGTCTTTCTTGTAGTCAAAAGATGACGAAATGTACGCCTGAGAAATATTACCAATATTATACGTTTTTATAAGTTTCCAAAGTGCTAATTTTTAAACACTGACAGCACTGTAAACTGGTTCAGTTTAAACTAGTTGAGCTCATAACACTATAATTCAATTGTCATATTTATTACAGCCAGAGCAGCATCGCAATCAAACTCAGTTGATAAACCAATCAATCGATCCCACTGAGAGAAATCCATCCAGCCATCAACGTTCAGAAGTTATCCATCCTGGATGGTGACAGTGGAAAGGAAGCAGACTTTTTTAACAGAAAGAGACTGACTGTGTTAGACAGACTGGCCACATTCAGTGACTGGCTTGTCGCTGAGAGAAAAGCTTTCCTTTGTGAAATGGATAAAGAGCACACAGTCAGTAGCAGCAACAGCACCAGCAATTGGCCCTACAGAAAAGAGAAAAAGCTCAACATGGAGCCACTCAGGGAGGTGTGCTTCCTGTGGTGCGGAAAAACAAAGAAAACACATTTTATTAGATTTCCCATCGACTGTCCAGGAGAAAATACTCAAAGGCCACAGAGTGCTTGAGCCAGGTACAATTTCTACGGGAAAGAAATAACAACGTTCACAGCAGCGATGATGATAGCTTTTTCTGTTTCAAACGTTTAACACATTCTGCATGCCTTTCGTTGACTTGGTTGAAGAATAAAATTAAAACGTGCAAGTGGAATCTATGTGTACATTTGCTCTTGTTTCCATCACTTTATGGTGCAGATGCTAATAGTTCAATGAGTTTCCTTTATTTTCATGACAATTGACACTGAAGGCATCAAGCTATGAATTAACACATGTGGAAATATGTACTAAACAAAAGTGTAAAACAACTGAAAATACACCTTATATATATATATATATATATATATATATATATATATATATATATATATATATATAAATAATAAATTCCCTTCTCACCCACCGCGGGTGGTTCTTATCCTCTGAGCTCGGGTCCTCTACCAGAGGCCTGGGAGCTTGAGGGTCCTGCAGTATCTTGGCTGTGCCAAGGACTGCACATTTCTGGACTGAGATGTCTGATGCTGTTCCTGGGATCTGTTGTAGCCACTGCTCCAGTTTGGGGGTTACTGCCGGGCCCCGATGACCACAGGTACCACTGTGGTCTTCACCTTCCAGGCCCTCTCCAGTTCTTCCCTGAGGCCCTGGTATT